AAAAGAGCCATGAAGTATCAGCTAATAGAGGATAAATGAAACTAAGTACACTTTTTATCATGCATGACTTTTGTTTTTCATGGCTTTCCAATGTCAGCGATCCTTCCATCACCTGACGCCCCACCCCAAGAGTCTGAGGATATACGCTGGTCATATTGGTATATTTTAAAACATAAGTGACGTGTACAAGATACTCAGTGATTTTAGCACCATTCTGCCACCCGTGGAACGAACAGCTCAAATCCCAGCAGTGCAGACACCTCTCTTCATCTAGACACAGAACGCTAGTTATTTAAACCATTTATTTGGCACGAGGTGGAGACTGCGAAGAGCAATGGAAAAGATGACAAAAACAAGCACCACGCGCCCATTTACAGCCAGCAGAATTACATGCTCGCTTTTGTGTGACAAAATAACAAGATGATGTCTCCTGTGACTTCAAGTGTGTAAAGACAGCACTGTTTTTATCTTTCAACACACGGGAACCCAGGTGCAGGGAGGCTGGCACGTGCCCAGGTCCTGTGCTCACACCACCTGTCTGCAGCATTGCCTGATCACCTGTCTGTGGCACCTGCCCAGGTGCCTTGTCTGCAGCATCTGCCTGAGTGCCCCGTCTAGGGTACCACGTCTACAGCACATGCCTAGGTCCCCTGCCCCGGACCACTGCCCAGCTCACCTGTCTGGGCACATACCCGGGGCACCTGCCCAGGTCCTGTGCCCATGTCACCTGCCGGGCCCCCTAGTCAGAATACCTGCACGGGTCCCGCCCCTTCGGATGCCCGAGCTGCCTCCACCCTGGGCCCTGTGACCGCCCCGCTCCCCAATTCGGGGGTCCCAGCCACCCGGGGCGGGCACGCGCCTCCCGCGGAGGGCCCACCCTCGGCCCAGGCCCCGCGGCCGCTCACCAGGTACTTGCCGTCCGGGGAGAACTTGCAGAGCTGACTGGAGAGCTTGAACAGCTCGGAGAAGTTCATGGTGGCCACCGCCCACCACGCGGGACCCCGGACCCGGGACCCTGCACCGGACCCGGAGCTGGAGATGCCACGGGCGCCCGCCGCAACCGCCAACCCCAAGCCCGGAAGTGACGGCAGGCGGAAAGCAGGCCGCGGCCTATCAGGGACCCGGGTGCCCGCGCAGCATTGTGGACCTTGTAGTTCGCTTTCGGGGAGACTCCGCGCTTCTTGAGACCCGGGATTTTCGTGGTGCGTGGAGGGTGGGTGCTCTCGAGCCCCCTGCAGCCACAGTTACCAGATAAAATCCAGGGCGCGCACTTAAATTTAAATTTCATATAAACAAATCATTTTTTAGTATAAATTTATACTATAAATTTAGTATAAATACAAAAAAATGTACGCACATTTTACCTAAGGAAAAAACTATTAAAATTGAAATACTCAGTATATACCGGTAACAAAAGATGAATGCAAGTCACGTTTGACTTCTGCAATTACAAGAGGTGCTCAAAGTGGTTCCCATCAGTGTCCAGATACTTCAGATTATGGGGAACTACTGCTTGAGCAACCTTGACCAAAGTGTCCACTTGTAGACATTTTTTTGGCGCCCCTGGTATATTTCTACATACCGCACGGTACATACGTATACTAAAAAATTACACGCTTATCTGAAATACAAATTTAACTGGGCATCCTGTGTGTCTGTATTTGTATTTATGTATGTATTTATACTTACACGTAAACAGGTTTATGTGTAAGTATACTTACATAGAAACATGGTTTGTGTGTAAACATAATAGTGTATATACATATATGTTATAATACATTTCATAACGTATACCTATATTTTATACACGGTATATAAATCAATATTCGTTTTTCTTTGTTTTTTGGCTAAATTGGGCAACCCACCTGCTGCGAGCTCCCCAACCCCACCCCCCACGCCCTCGCCTTGGGCTCAGGTGCCGCTCAGGTCAGGGGAGAACGAATTTGAAGCTTACTCCGCAGGAAGAGCGCGCGGATGGCACGCACCGGCGGGTTCATCGCACGCCGCGCCCCTGCGCTGGGGCTGCGCAGGGGAGAGGGACCGCGCCCGAGGCCGAACCGGGCCCAGCCGCAGCTGGCGTTCGGTCAGGTGGAACGACCACCTGCGTCGGCGATGCTTAGCGGACCTGGCTACCCACCCCCGCACGCGCGCCACGTCCTCTAGTCCACTTGAGACGCCTGGTCTCCTTCCTCCGAGAGCGCCCCAGCCAGGCCCCGCCAGCACCCCCGCAGCCCGCCACATCGCGCAGGCCCTGACCCCGCACCCGACCTTCCGCTCCGAGACCCGAGCCCCGCCAACGCGCTCCTCTCACCTCCGCGTGCCCAGCCCAGAGTCTGCGCCCTAAGGACGCCCCGCCCCCGCCCCAACTTCCCGGAACCAACCGGTAGGGGATGCGCACACGCATCCCGCTGCTCCACGCGGGCCTTTTCTGTACACAGGCCAGATCACCCCGCGTGTGATTCGTCTTTGTGTTGCCACCCCCAGCGCCTTGCAAACAGTAGTTGAGCCATAAAGGTGTGTGGAAGTCAGCCAGGCGCGGCCAGGTGAGCGGCAGACCCCGTGTGGCCAGAGAACCCGGTCTGCGCCAGCCCGGCTCGGGTGCATTTACACTGGCGACACTAACTCGAGAGTCACCCTACGGGGTGGGGTGGCGGGGAGCATCGGTTCACAGGCAGATAACGGGTCTCATGAGCACCAGAAGGCAGCGCGCAGCAGGTGCCCGCTACGGAGGGCTGCGCAGCTGGAAACTCGTCCTGGGGTTCTGCAGCCGAGGCCCTGTGCAAGGGGTGGGCGCCCTGGAAGCCCCACCTGCCCTACCGGGGACCCCGCTGTGAAGCCGCAGGTGTCTTGGGGCTGAGAGAAGCCTTGGCCTGGGGCGGGTTCTGAGCTCAGAGAGCAATTCCGTGTGCGTGACCCACGTGTCGTGTCGCCGTGGACACCCTCGCGCACCTGCGCAAACCCAGAACCGAATCCAGTGCCCCAAGCCAGGAGGCACGGCCGGGGGAGGGAGCAGGGTGTGGGCCGCGCGACCTGGGAGCGGTTCCGCTTCGAGATAGTCCCTAGGTGCCGAGAAACACAGCCTCCGCCGAGGAGGACGCGGCCTGGGGCGGAGGGTCTCGCCCAGAGGCTCCCGCAACGCCGGGCGGGGCTGGGATACGTCCTCGACCTCGGATCCGTGCGTGGTGTGGGTGGCTCGACCTCCTCGGCGGAGGAACCCCGCTGGAGCCACCCGAACCCGAATGGCTCCACCCAACCCCGGGCACTGAGGCCGGGACCCTCATCCCTGTTCCTCGCAGAGCACAGCCAGTGTGGACACCCCACGGCCCCGGGCGATGGGACCCCTATCGTACGCGGCGCTTCCCCTGCCCCTGGGATTCCGAGCGCCCCGCGCGCGGAGGGACCCCGAGCCGGTGGGGGTGGAGGAGTGGCCCTGGGTGTCGGGGAAGGTGCGGCGTCTGGGGGGGAAGGAAGGCGTCGGGACGCGGAGTCTGCATCTCCGCTCCCCACCCCGGTGCCCGGCCCCCGCGCCCCCAAGCCGGCCGCGGGGCGCGGTCCCGTCTCGCCAGCAGGAGGGCCCCGCGCCCGGCCCGCGTCCAGGGCTGTGCAGGGGCGACACGCGCCAAAAAGCGGCGGGAAGGAGGCGGGGCGGAGCGCGCCCCGGGACCCCGACTCGGACGCGGCCAGCTGTGTGGGCGGAGCGCCGCGCGGCAACCTTGGCCCCGGCCGGGCCCCGCCGCCCCGCGCTGTGCCCGCCACGGCCGAGGGGCCCGCGCTGCCTTCCCGCTCCACGGGCCGTGAGAGGCGCCAACGCCGCGGCCGCCCCCTCCCCGCTCGCCTCCCCTCCCGGGGCCCATATAACCCGCCTCGACGGGTCCACCGCCCACCCCGCCTCCCCGCGTCGCGGCCCACGC